CCTCCTTTCAGTGTTTTTTTTTTTTTTTAATCTTTCCGTATCAAAACTTCTGTTTTATGCTGGGCCCAGAGAGCAGCACTAGTAAAAGGTGTAGCCCTGTTGGAGTAGGTGTGTCACTGTGGGTGTGGGCTATAAGACCCTCACCCTAGCTGCCTAGAAATCATTCTTCTGATAGCTGAAGATAGAGAACTCTCAGCTCTGCCTGCACCATGCCTGCCTGGATGCTGCCATGTTTTTGCCTTGATAATAATGAACTGAACCTCTGAACCTGTAAGCCAGCCCCAATTAAATGTTGTCCTTTATAAGAGTTGCCTTGGTCATGGTGTCTGTTCACAGCAGTAAAACTCTAACCAAGACAGTGTGTGTATGTGTGCATGTGTGTACATGAGCCACAGCACAAAGTGGAAATTGAAGGACAGTTTTGGGGATTAGGTTCTTTCTTCCACTATGTGAATTGTGAGACTTGAAACCGGGCAGTCAGGCTCGGTGGTGAGCATCTTCACCTGCTCAACTGTCTTAAAGGCTCTTCTTTTTTTTTTTTCATTTGTACATGCTTGTGTGTGTGTGTGTGTGTCTGTGTCTGTGTGTGTGCACGCGCACTCATGTGTTGGTGCCCATGTGTGTGCACATTTGTATGGAGACCAGAGGTTAATTAACGTCAGGTGTCTTCCTTAATCGCAAGGATTCACACTTGAACCCAGAGCTCACAGGTTAGGCTAGTCTGCTTAGCCAGTTTGCTGTGGGGATTCCTCTGCCTCTGCCTCCTGAGCACTGGGATTGCAGGTGAGCCGCCACACCAGCCCCACATTTACATAGACGCTGGGATCAACCATACTCGTCACAACTGCACAGCAGCAAGCGCTCTACCCACTGTGCTAACTCCAGGAGCTCCAATGGTTCCTCTTAAGGGACTGAGTGGGGGCTATGCCTCGTGTGGCTGAATTTCGCCATGCCCTCTGCAATATCACACAATTCATTGTTATTGACACTGCCTGATACCTGTTTATCTAGAACGTCTGCATAGCTAAGAAGGACCTGGAGTGAATCCAGTGGACTGAACAGCTGGGAGGGTGATCATTATATTAGTGAAAGAAATGATAGGGCGTGATTAGAACAGTTGGTTTCTAAGTGTGAACTAGAGGTTACAAACAAACAACACCCAGAGCCAGCAAGAAGGTTTGAAGGTTTAGTTTATAAAGGTGATTGCCATGACAACCTTTGAGTTTGATCCCCAAAACCCACAGAGTAAGAGAGAGCGACTCCTACTTCCACACATATGTGGTGGCCTATGTACCAATTAAGAATTAAAAATAAAGAACTGTCAGACATTGAGCTTGTGGGCACAGTGGTACCCACCAGCAATACCAGCACTCAAGAGGCTCAAGTAGGAGGATTTTGTGAAACTAGACTACCCAGACAACATAAAGACTTCCAGGCCAGCCTGGGCTACATAGTAAGAATCTGTCTTTAAATAAACAAAAACAGAAAGTGCTGGGCCTGGTGGTGCACACCTGTGATCCCATCACTCAAGAGACAGAGGAAGAGAGTGAGGAGTTGGTGACCAACCTTGGCAACATAGGGAGACCCTGTCTAAGAAAAGAGGGTGGGCTACTTTAACATAAGGATGTCGTAGATTAATCAAGGGGCTTTCCTCCTGGATAACTTACTTAGCACTATAGATTCTTTGAATGAAGAAAACATAGCTGGACTTATGTTTCTGGTCTGGGCAAGAATCATGCAGCAGTTTCTCTATCGAAGCTTAGATTTATACCAGTTGACCCATACGAGACACTCATGATTAGACATCCCAGCAAAACTTGGGTCATGCAGAATAGTCCTGTCTCAGCAGCGTCTCCAGTCTCACCCATTGAAGTGATCCATTAGTTATGTTGGGGCCTTGGACTTTTGGAGTGGGAGTCTGCCCTGGCCTTCTCAGAGGTGAGCAGTGCATATAGTCTTGTTCTTGTGGGACATATGTCAGAGCTGTGTGGGACATCCTAAAGACACTTATAAGTGCCTTAACAGTTATGTCTGAGGCTGGGGGTAGCCACAGTTGTCTGCAGACCTAGCACTCAGGAAGCTGAGGCAGGAGGATCATCAGTTTTAAGACAAGTCTGGGCTACACAGGGAGACTCTAGCTCAAAGAAACAAAACATAAAAGTGGGTGGAAAGCAAAATGAAATTGTTTGTCATACTTATAAGCAATGCTTGCTTAAAATAGGGTTTTTTGTATAAAACCAGGCAGAATAACTTCTAAAGTATCAACAATGATTTTTTTTTTTTTTTGGTTTTTCGAGACAGGGTTTCTCTGTGTAGCCCTGGATGTCCTGGAACTCACTCTGTAGACCAGGCTGGCCTCGAACTCAGAAATCCGCCTGCCTCTGCCTCCCAAGTGCTGGGATTAAAGGCATGCACCACCACTGCCTGACAACAATAATTATTTTTAGGGAATGTGTGTTTTAGAAATTTTTAATCCCAATCCAGTGTTTCTACCTCACCTAGGTCATTCCAGTCCCTGGATAAAAGACACACAACTTTTATATTTACAATAAGCCTTAAACAGCACAAGAGCTGGGCAAAAATCTACCTTCTGCTGTTAGAATCTACTTTTCTATCCACAACTCCAAGTTATTACTTAGTATGTTTCATCTGGGCTGCTCTTAACTCCAATTGGCCAGCCCTTGAGACTACGTTTTCATGGACTCTCAAACCATGGCATCTCTCTCTTCCTCCTTCACCTTCCCTCCCTCGTGGTTCTCCAGGCCTGAGGACACTAATCCCCGCCTATGTCTCTTCTGCCCAGCTATTGGATATTACCATCTTTATTTATCAATCAAAAATAACTTAGGAGCAAGGTCACATAGTGTCACTTGGGTCTACATGCGGACTACATATTGTCTCTCTGGGGCAACCAGGTCTTAAGGGCCTTCACTTAGCTTTACAATACATAGCAAAAGACCAAACATCAATAGATGTGACTTTTTTTTTGTTTTGTTTTGTTTTGTTTTGTTTTGTTTTTCGAGACATGGTTTCTCTGTGTAGCCCTGGCTGTCCTGGAACTCACTCTGTAGACCAGGCCTCGAACTCAGAAATCCGCCTGCCTCTGCCTCCCAAGTGCTGGGATTAAAGGCATGCGCCACCACTGCCTGGCATAGATCTGCCTTCTGAAAACACAGATGTCCCTCTGGAATCTCCCATAGTCCTTTAACATTTCTTTCTCTATTATCCTTTCAACCATGGATACTTTTGGATGGCCATTGTCTTGCTCTGGCTTCCATACATGTATTTTCAATGTCTCCATGTTCACTGTCTCCTCCTTTCTTAGCCTTCCTGCTTGTTTTATGTTCATATTGTAAAATGTTCATTATGTGACCCATTAGGGTTATCCGATAATTCTGCGTGTAATGGTTTTCTTTTCAAAGCCTAATGTCGGAAAGGATTTGTACATTTTGAATACCCTTTAGATGGGGTGGACAGACCTGAAATGAAGAAGATGTTGCTCCTGCACAACACATCCGATGAAAATCAGCTCTGTGAGGGTCGTAATAGAAAGACTAACAGGAGGCACTTTCTGGTACTCCCTCTTAGGAGGACTCTGGGATTTTGATCATCAGTTAGAACTGAACCAAGAAAAGCAGCAGAAGCATTTGGAACAAGCATCTTTCACGCACTGAACAACTACACAAAAAAGCATAGGATATAATAACTTTGAGGAAAACTATAATCTGAACTCACACCTTGTGCACCACGAATCCCTCCCATTAAGAAATCTCTCTGTTATGACACAGAAGAAAAGAGCAGCAAACGGCATTCGGATTTGATGTATTGTCATGAAAACTACCTAAGAGAGAACCCCTATGAAGATAAGGAGTATAGGAAAATCTTCAGTCGGCATCCTCTTCTTACTATTGTATTCTCAGAGAGAAACACCGTGAATGTGAAGAGGCCTTCAACCAAAACTCAACTCATAACAATTTCAGGTCAGTTGGGGACTGCATTTGTGGGAACTGCCTTGCCATCCTTTGGAGGGTAATTCCTGTTCAGCTCTGACCAGAACAAAACAGTAACTTCCAAGTGATGGTGAACAGGGTGTGTGTGTGTGTGTGTGTGTGTGTGTGTGTGTGTGTGTAGAAATGTCCACTGTATTTACACTCTTCTACTACCTATTTCATACCTGGCTTGAGTTTTGTTTTGTTTTTATTTGCCTCTAGTAGACTGTGGGCGCTCTTTTATTCATCTTTTCTCTACAATGCCTAGCACAGATTCTTAGAATATATGTTCTGTAAATGTTTGCTTTAAAAAAAAATGGGTTGGACAGATTGATGCTTTGTTTTTATTGTTGTTATTTTAATACTGGGGATTGTTTCCAGGACGTAGTACTTGAAAGAAAAACCTCTGGCCATTTCTGGCTGTATTTCTGTGCCACCACATCCATCTTTAATATTAACTTGAAATTTCTTGACTTGCATATTATTCATACTTATGAAATACAGTGTGGTATTGCAGTGTACACCTACAGTAATATCCGGGTAGTTGGCATATTTACACTTACCACATCTTTGCCTGAAAAATCTTCAGAAGCACCTATAACCGATACTTTGACCCATGCAAATATCACACTATGCAACGAGACATTACAAATTGTTGCAAAGCATGCCTGTAATCCAACACTGGAAAGGCGGAGGCAAGCCAGATGTAGTGTGAGACTGAAAAAAAAAAAGGAGTTTCTGTCTGACAAATACACGGTCCTTTTATTTGAAGACAAGTCCAATCTATTGCTGGGAAATCAAAAGAGCAGGAAACAAAATGGATAGGAAAAGATAGGAACCTCCTGCGCATCTACAGCAGTACCTACGGAGAAAGCATAAGCAGGACACACTTAACCCCGGACTTCCGCCGGAGGTGCGGTTTCAAAATAGATTGGGCGGGTTCTTATCTTTAGCCCCGCCTAAGACAGGACTAGAGCCCTGTGAAAAGGGACGGGTGGGGCTAGCGTGCTATGTACGTCATCACGCTGCGTCCATGCTCCGTCGGCCTTGTTCCGAGAGGTAGTCTCCAGAGGTGAGCGAGGGTTCCAGGTCTGGGTATTAGGGGTCAGCGATGTTGCATCTCTTGTCTGTTTCCCTGGTGGTTTCGGTAGCGACTGATTCCCAAAGCTGCTCCGAGTCAGAGTCCCGTCGTTCCTGTACAGGAAGCTGGCTGACCGGCCGAGGTCTTGCAGTGAGCCCTTGTGTGTTTGGTAGCGGGCTGTAATGGCTATAATTGAGACAGAAAGCTGCAATAAATGCTGTGAGCTTGAGACCGTGCCCTGGTAACGACAAGGAATAAACCCCGTAGACTCAGGAGTTAAGCGCTTCAAACAACGCCGTTTATTATAATACTCCCTAATTGGGGACCAGTTCCAAGAAAGGACACCAAGTGACACGGACGAAGTGTTTCTAAATGGTTACAGAACAAAGAATAGTGGGTAAAAAGTAAATAAGGTGACTTGTCTTGTAGTGATCTAGTAGGCACCTCATAGGTAGAAGAGCTTTGGTCTGTAGAGCATCTATGATCGGCAGCAAGGGAATTTTCCAGATGATTAGGTAGAGACGCACTGAAGCTGGACCTTTAACTGCATATTTTCCCGTTGTATCCCTCCTCATTTGGAGAGAGGGACTCCGCTGTGGCCAGTTTACTTGTATGCTTGCACACTAATAGTTCACAAAACACTTGTGAGCAGGTCATGTTATTCCTAACTTTCCATATAGGGAATCCGAGGGTTAGATTCATTTTTTACTTTGTAAACATTAATAACGATAAAACCTGGAAGCATCTCTGACCCGGCTAGTTCAGAAAGGTAGAAAAAATGACTACTGGACACCAGCATTGCTGCTGACCACATCCACTTGGTAAGCCCTAAGCACCAGAATGCTAGTTTAAATGGTGTATTGTGACACCAGCCTGTGTATAATCTCAGAGGATCCCCTGGAACTGGTGCTACGTAAGGTATCCTTGAAAGCCACCATAAGGGTGCTGGAAACTGAACCCAGGTCCTCTGGAAGAGCAGCCAGCGCTTAGCTGCTTAGGCGTCTCTCCAGCCCAACTCATGGGAGGCTAACATAGAAGGATCTCCCAGGGCTGGAGAGATGGCTCAGCGGTTAAGAACACAGACTGCTCTTCCAGAGGTCCTGAGTTCAAATCCCAGCAACCACATGGTGGCTCACAACCATCCGTAATGAGATTGGATGCCCTCTTCTGGTGTGTCTGAAGACAGCTACAATGTACTCATCAATAAAATAAATAAATAAATAAATAAAAAAAAAAAGGATCTCCCAGTTTAAGGCAAGCCTGGGCTACAGTGGAGAAAGGTAAACTTCAGGAAAAAGAAACAGCCATTGGTTTGCTCATGGATAGGGGAAAGGGGGCAAGACTGTCTTAACAATGTTAGGCTGTGAGAGTTTGTGTTTGTTTAATTTTAGGTGCTCACAGACACATAATGTCAATAGTCCGATCATCCGTCCATGCAAAATGGGTTGTGGGGAAGGTGATTGGTACAGCAATGGTAAAAACTGCTAAAGTAAGAGCAACCAGACTCGTGTTGGATCCCTACTTACTGAAGGTAAGGATCAACACTTGTTCTAAAGTGCCATTGATAAGTTACCAAGGGTCTGCTGTGGCAGTTCTCAGCCTGGGGGTCGTGACCCCTTTGGGAGTCACATATCAAATGTTTACATTTTGATTCATAACAGGGACAACATTACAACTAGGAGGTAGCAAGTTATGGTTGGGGAGCGCCACACCATGAGGAACTGAGTTAAAGGGTCGCAGCATCAGGAAGGTTGAGGACCACTGCTTTAGGGTCTGAGCAGAAAAGCATTTTCCCATCAATAAGAGATAAGTTGAGCCGGCAGTGGTGGTGCACGCCTTTAATCCCAGCACTTGGGAGGCAGAGGCAGGCAGATTTCTGAGTTCGAGGCCAGCCTGGTCTACAGAGTGAGTTCCAGGACAGCCCGGGCTATACAGAGAAACCTTGTCTTGAAAAAAAAAAAAAAAAAGTTGAACATCTGCAGCATTCTGCTACACCCTGTGCTGACCTGTAGGTGTAACCTGGTTCATAGGAGGCTTTCGGGAACACGCAGTTTATTTTGATATTTTCTATAGTGTCTAGCTGGGCAGAACAGCCTGGAACAGAGGACAAGACACTTCATTCCTTCTTCCCAGGTTGCCATAAGAGATATCCCAGTAAAGAGACGTTTGAGCTGGCCCTCCAGTACAGTTCTATTCCTGGGCCAGGTAGCAAGAAGTCACTGCACCTTGATGAATACAATGTGTGGTTCTTTCAACTGTGATAGGGCACAGCCTCCTGCAGAAATAGCAAGTGGTTGCACCCATCGAGGCCATGGGTTGGTATTCTAGTTTAAGGAATGCAAGGACAGTCGGAGGTGGACTGCAAAGGGTCCTTTGTGCATTGTTGCTTTGTTTCGTTTTTGGGACAGGGACACTCTGGGTAGCCCTGGCTGTCCCGGAACTCAGTATGTAGTCCAGACTGGCTTTGAACCCACAGAGATCCACTTGCCTCTGCCAGGAGTCTACACCAGTATAGCCAGAAATCCACTGTGTATTGATTTCATCCTTTAAATAAAGAAAAGACTGAGTCTACGAGATAAGGACCAGCGTCAGGAGTTAGGAAGAGGATTTTGCAAAACTGTGGCGTAGAAATGATAAGGGCCTGAACTAAAGTGGCAGCGGCACTGGGAATGCAGTGGGCAACGCAGACCCGGGAAGAAGAGGCTGAGCTGTGGTTTGTTAGATGAATGGGAGGGGGATCTGGGTTCAATTCCCAGCACCCACATGGCAGCTCACGACTCTCTGTAATTCCAGATCCACACAGATATACATGCAGGCGAAACAGCAATGCACATAAAAAAAAAATTAATGAAAAAAAGCAAGTACATATTAAGGGCTCTCTTCAAAATTAAAAAATATTTAAAAAAAAAAAAAAGAATAGGAAGGGGGGCAGCTTCCCAGGAGTTGTTTTTTCGAACCACAGATCACAGATGGGAGTTACTGATCTGCCCCTCTCCTTCTTTCCACAGTACTTTAATAAGCGGAAAACCTACTTCGCTCACGATGCCCTTCAGCAGTGCAGCGTCGGGGACATCGTGCTCCTCAGAGCTTTGCCCGTCCCACGATCAAAGCATGTGAAACACGAACTGGCTGAGATCATCTTCAAAGTCGGCCGAGTTATCGACCCGGTCACAGGAAAGCCCTGTGCAGGAACCGCCTACCTAGAGAGCCCCCTCGTTTCAGAAGCCACTCCCCTCAGCGAAACTCCGGAAGAGCTCAAGGTCTCCTGAACCTAGGGAAGAAGGAGCCAGAGAGATTTCTCTCTATAGGTTTGCTCAATGGCTTTCATTACTGTCCAGTTTCTCCTGTGACATCAGACATAGTAAGCGAAGTAAAGAGCTTAGTGTTCCACAAGGGTCTGCATCCTTTTTCAGATTCTCTGAACAGAACTTCCTGATTACTCCATGTGCCTAAGTGTACTGCATCATTCTGTAAGCTCACTGTCTTAGATCATGTGTATCGTTTCCTTTGTTTTACTTCACTCAAAGAAATCTTGGACTTAGCACCTTTATTTTAAAAGGAGAAAACCTTTTGATAATGACATAAAAGATTAAACTTAGTTTTGATAGCTTAATTTTTCAAAAGGTATTATGTGTGTCCACGATGCCTGTGTGGGCACAGACGTGCCCCCGAATACTGTGTGAGCCAGAGGACAGCTTTGCGGAGTCTACGCTCCCTTCACTCTTACAGGGTTTCCAGGTATCACACTCAGATGGCCAGGTTTGCACAGCTAGCACCTGCATCCGCTGAACATCCTGCTGGCACAGAGTTTAAATGGTTCATATTCAAAGTAAGTTAAATTTGGGCTGTTTTGCTGTATTTTTGGAGACAGGATTTTTCTGTATGGCCTTGGCTGTCCTGGAACTTGCTCTGTAGACCAGGCTGGTCTCCAAATCACAGAGATCTACCTGCCTCTGCCTCTGAAGTGGTGGGATTAAAGGTGTTCGCCACCAATGCTGCTAGTAAATTTAATTTTTTCCCCTCTGATTTCACCAACTCCCAAGGGGAAATGTTTTAAATGCTGTAAAGATTTTTACTGCAGAAACTTTGGCCTATATATTTCATTTTTTCTGACTCCTGAGAAGGAGACTTGGGGTATATTTCAACTTGAGCTAATATTTATGTTATATGTGTGTTTCTTTGTTTAGTTGTTTTGAAATTGTGCCTCAGTATATAAAGCCCAGGTGAGCCTTGAATTTTTAGTCCTACCTCATGCTCCAGGTAGCTGGGATTAGTAGGTGTGTGGCATAGGGCCTAGTTAATAGAAGATATTAGTAATAAGCACAGGCACTCATGGATCATCAGGACGAAAGTGGAGAGGGACCCATAGGTGCCCTCATAACAGATAGGACCCATGGAGGGTGAGCGGCAAGAGACCAGATAAGGGAAAGGGGAATGAAGGAAGACTCTGCAGACTAGTAAATGGTGGGTATGGAGAAGGCAGTTCAAGCAGAGGCAAAAGTGTGAAGTCCTGAGTAATAACATGGCTAGTGAAGCTGGAGAGATGGCCCAGTGGTTAGGAACTCTTGGGGTCTAGGAATCACCTCATAAACCACGCAAACACAGATCTCAGACAAGGATAGTTTATTGAGCATATGCCTCAGGGCCACAGTCCAGATTCGGGAACTGAACTGTGACCCCAAGTTAAGATCCTACAGGGTTTTTAAGCCCAATAACCACAGCCAAGTTATTTTACCAATCAGGATTTAGGAATAGGGGGTTTCCTTAGGAACATGTCTTCGTTGTATACGTACCTGTTTCCATTGGTTGGGGTATTCAACTGTGGCAGGAGAATTGCCTTGTTTAATACTCATATTCTGATGTGTCTACCGGGATGGGACTTGTCTAACATTCCTGTCTTAACTTGCCATCCAGGTTGTCAGTTTCCCATGTACATGTCTCTTTCTGCCAAGTAGGATGTCAGTTCCCAGAGAGGTCTTGGGAACTTAAACTTTACTGAACCGCTACTCAAAATGGAAGTCTTATTCCAAATAGTTTCTTATATTGGTACAGGTGTCTCTCTTGTGTTAGGGTCCATCCCAGGGCCGGCTTATAAAATCAAATGCCATAAAAGCTTACACACAGGTGCAGAAAGTACTACTAGGTGGTTGGTTTGGGTCCAAGCTTATTGTGGGTAACAATACAAACCGCTCTACTGAGTTCTATCATGATTGGTTTCCAGGGGCACAGAACATAACAGAATATGTAATCAATCTTGGCATTAGAAAGTTTCCTAGTAACAGCAGAAACATTTGAGAAAGTTTCATTATAATGGCAGGCTAGGGCTGGAGAGATGGCTCAGCAGTTAAGAGCACTGGCTGCTCTCCCAGAGATCTTGAGTTCAATTCCCAGAAACCACATGGTGGCTCACAACCATTTGTAATGGGATCCAACACCCTCTTCTGGCGTGTCTGAAGACAGCTACAGTGTACTCATATTCATAAAATAAGTCTTTATTATTATTAAAAAGCAATGGCAGACTAGCCAGGTAATTGTTACTTAGGACTTAACAGGAACACAGGCTGCTTTTGCAAAGGACCCAGGTTCAGTCCTCGGTACCCGTGTCACATGGCAGTTCAAAACTGTTAACTCCAATTCCAGATCTGGTGCCCTCTTCTGTTCTCCATTAGCACTGCATGCATTTGGTAGGCATACAGACTGACAAAGCTCCAAGGTTTGTTTTGTTTTGTTTTGTTGTTGGTTTTTTTTTTTTAACAAAGCATAACCAGGAGTTTTTGAAGCAGAATTTCTGGGACATTTTGAATATAGGTAGACATTAGAGAAATAAGATAATGGATTATTTAAGGTCAGAGAAAAGGATTACAAAGTTAAACAGCACCAGTGTAGAGAACTGGATAAAATAAGATGAAGGGCTAGGAGCTGGGTGGTGGTTGCGCACGCCTTTAATCCCAGCACTTGGGAGGCAGAGACAGGCGGACTTCTGAGTTCGAGGCCAACCTGGTCTACAGAATGAGTTCCAGGACAGCCAGGACTACACAGAGAAACCCTGTCTCGAAAAACCAAAAAAAAAAAAAAAAAAAAGAACATCCTGACGGTGCTCATCTGTAAGCTAGCAACCTTGCCACCAAGCCTGACAACCCAAATGGGTCCGAGTTCCTGGGACCCACATGGTAAAAGGAAAGAACAACTCCCAGAATTTTTTCTGAGTCCTGCGCATGCTTCTTGTCATGGCCCAAGTACCCACACACGTGCACAAGTAAATACATGTAATCTATAAATTTAACTTTTTTAAAATTAGGCTTCAGGAAGACTCTTGTAATGAGAAATATGAGCCTGGTAGTACACACCTTTAATCTCAGCACTCAGACAGAGGCCAGCCTGGTCTACATTGTTGAGTTCCAGGCCAGCTAAGGCTACATAGTGATTCTCAATCTTCCTAATGCTGTGACTATTCAATATTCTAGATATGTCTGTGGGTGTGTCTGCCTGTGAGCAGACCCGCCTGAGGAGGATAGAAGAGTACTGTCTCAGTTCCCAAATCTATCTTCATCTTCGGTGGTTGTCTTCGGAGACCTCTTTGAAAAGGTCATTGGACAGCAATGGTGTCTCGACTCACAGATTGAGAACCACTAGGGCCTAAACCTTGGGTACTAGTATACACTTATTATAACACAGCACTCAGGAGGCTGAGGCAGAGAACAGCAAGTTCAAGGCAAGCCTAGGCAACTTGGTAGGACCTATTTCCAAAACAGACTGAAGAAGCACAGCTCATTGGTAGAGCACATGCCTAGCATATACAAGGCCCTAAGTAGTCACCAGTACTTGGGAGGAGAGCACTGGACCAAAGAACTAATGAAACTCCAGAACAAAAGGGCATTGGGGGTGGGGGTGGGGAAAATACAGGAAAAAAAATGGCCTAACGCTAAGTAGCACAAAAGCAGAGTCATTAAAGAAATGCATAAACGCCAAGTTGCATTCCAAGAGAGAGAGTTGAAACTCCTAACATATAAAGTTGAGTCAAGTGCAATAATGCATATCTGTGATCCACCTCAGTACTGCAGAGGTGGAGGCACGAGCCGTGAGAGTTTGAGGCCATCCTGAACTGAATAATGAGGTCCAGTAACTAAACCGGTTCTGAAAACTCATGCAAGTAATCTCAGGACCCAGAAGAGTAACAGGACCCAAGAATGGAGTCCTGTAAGGGGAATTCTGAATGCTTGTGAGAAACTCCAAGAGAGCAAGGGTCTTGTAACCTCAGTTTCTTCACACCCCTCCCAGGTGTAGTGAACAGCAGTGAGTTCAACTCCAGATTACTCATTCCTGCTTGCTGTTATATGCCTCTGTGGAAAATCCTTATTTTGACACCTGGGTCTTGTCCTTGTGTGTTGTACACTTAAATTGTGTGATTCTTCTAAACCCTCAGAGTATAAATTGTCGGATGCTCTGAATAAAGCCTATTGAGACTTTAGTCCACCTCATTTTTAGGCTCCATTCTCCCAGGTTCAGCCCCCATCAGGAGCAGTAAACAGATCACCATCAGTTCAAGGCTGGACAGGGCTTCACATAAAGATCCTGTCTCAGCTAAGTTGAGAACTGGAGGATCTGTATAACAAAGGCAGGGCTCAGCCACACTTGAAGAGGCCCTGCCCCCAGCGAGTCTTGTATCTGTCTCCCACAGATGTATGGAACTCTCTCAGACTCATGCACATTCAAAGGAACAAGTGCCTCTCCCAGCTTGAACTACTCCTCTACCACCCGTTAAGACCAGCATTCGGCTTGTTAGAAAACTACCCATGGGGCTGGAGAGATGGTTCAGCGATTAAGAGCACTGGCTGCTCTTCCAGAGGACCAGGGTACAATACCCAGCACCCACATGGCAGCTCATAACTGTCTGCAACTCCAGTTCCAGGGGCCCCACACTCTCAGACATACATGCAGGCAAAACACTAACGATGCACATAGACTAGAAAGAGAAATTTTAAAAGATAAAGAAAACCACACCTCTTGAGCTTCAAGAGTACAGGTGGTGAAGAGTCAGTCACTGTTATGATCCTCTTTACCCAGAACCCGGGCGGCCACCAATTGGAGTGTCTTTCTCTTGGCCTCTGCAAGTAACCGAGGCCCAGGCTGCTCCCCATTTCTCTGATTCCTCGGGATCTAGTTCTGTTTCTACCTCCTCTTGTCTTGCTGACGTTTCATGCTCTTTTACTATCCCTATAGAATACGTTTTCCCCTGTACCAGTGGTTCTCAACTTTCCTGATGCTGCTACACTTTAACACGTTTCCTCACTTTGTGGTGACCCTCGACCATAAAATCAGGTTCTGGATTCTCTTATGCACAGATCTGCTCCTTTCTCATGGATCTCCCCGTGTACATGTCAGAGAAGTTCCTTTCTCACACCCATTTCGGGACACTGAGCTCCCCTCGCAGGATCTATGGTTGTTTTCAGCAACTGCTTGACGCGCCCCCTAGCGGCAGCACCGCGGCGGCACGCTGCTCCCCCTAGCGGCCGCGCCCCCTCACTACAGAGGCCTAGCGCCCTGCCCCGCCCCGCCCCAGCCTGGTCGGCCCGGCCGGGGGAGGGGTCGCGGCAGCGGCGGCGTCACCGACAC